TCAGATGAAATCCATCATCACGTCTCTGCAGCCTCACCATGCAGATTCCTCCTGAAACGCCTGCGGAGGTGTGACTTCCTGCACCTGCCTGGATGTGACACAACAATATGTGGCTCCGCCCACCTCGGGATCCAATCCTCTCTGCCTGAATCACAAAAGAGTCATCTTAAATCGAAGCGGCGGCGCTGACGGCTCCACGCTCAGCTGATGAATCTGTTTTCACGAGCTGCTCCTTTTAAGTCCGGATTTGAGTTATTTGGGATAAATGTGTTGAAATGAGCACATTTATAGTTTCGTCTTTATTTGAGCATTTCAGATTAACAGATGGAGACGCCCACCACCACCACCACCCTACGAACACACATCCTCTCACAGAACCTGTTTGTGAAATGTGCAACGTGTCCCAGAGGGGGTCTGTGTTTACAGCAGGTCTGCATGTAGCTTTTAAACACCTATTGAGAGGCATTGTGTAACAAATGTGCTCTTTTCTGCATGTGTATGCAGTCACACTAACTTCCTGGCACACCAGTGCACTGAAAGTCCATCTGGGCCCTTTTGCAGAGAGATAATCCCCCACTGACTCGTCCTCTACCTCCCTCAGCTCCCCCCCACCCTCATCTCCCCTGAACCTCCGTGACAACACCAGCAGCTCCGGCGTCGCAGCCTGCCAAACTCCCGTGTCCCACTCTGCCGAGGGGGCCCGAGAGCCTCCGCTGCTGCTGCCGGCTCGTCCTCCCTAATCCTCAGATCTCGAGGTGAACGCTGCGCCAAGGGTGCCAGGGAGGCTGGCAGAAATCTGTGGATTATCGCTGAAAAAGAAAGCTTTGTCAAGACTCTGTAGGGCTGGAGACATGATACTGTAAGGGTTTCAGAACCAGATTCTAAAAGTACAACACCAACATTTTATACATATTCAGCATGTATGAAAACTATGAAAAGAATAGGGCCACTGAAATAAAAACAGAGAATTCTGACTTCAATCTCAGAATTAGGAAAAAGTCAGAATTCTTTTATTCTTAGAAATCTGAGATTAGAGTCAGAATTATTATTATTTTGTTTTCAGTGGCCTTAATCCTCTTTTGTAAGGTAAAATTAGGGCTGGGCGGTATGACCTCAAATTCATATCATGGTATAAATTGAATCCCTACATAGAAAATTATCATAAAAAGCAAAGATAATGTAATTTTTAAAGCATTTATTTAGCAGAAAACTGTAATCATAATCAAACTCAGCATTTTTTCTGTAGTGCAAATGAACATAACAGAAGCACAAAATAACATTTTATATTGCAAAATGGTTTCAACAACAAACAAAAACATTTCTCAAATTTTCAACAATTTCAAAATAAAGTGGATGCTACAACCAGTACTTCAAGTAAAATTAGTTATTTAAACATAAAACATTCTAGGTTGCCTAAAATGTTATAGTGTGACAGGACCTTAAGCTGCACAAGGTCCTGTCATAAAACAGTTTCAGAAAACTGGAATGTAAATGTGGTGAAGCCAAATAAATGTAATATCTGCCTGCCATACTATGAGCTTCTGCCTGTTGAACTGACCCGCTGCTGCTCAGAGCAGAACTGTTACTTTAGCAAGATGGATTTATGACTGAACAAACGTACACATCTTTTTTTTTTTTATCATCTCTGTGGGAAACAATACATAAAAAAGTTTTTTCTCTGAAAACTTGTGTGAAAAAAACTACGGTTATTAAAGCTTCGCTCTGTGTGACGTGCTGCGGGAGGGAGGAAATGACCCGTGATATGATGTAACTTTTCTACAGCAAGAGGGGGAAATTTTGAGTATTTTTTCTCTCTATACATGTTTTAAAACCCTATATGTCTTCGTGTCCTGATGCATCTCAGTAATCCAGGTAAAAAATCAAAGGAAAAAAAATTGTATAGGTCCTCTGGACGGGTTCTTCTTTAATGAAACGTTTCGTCTCTCTTCCAAGAGACTTCTTCAGTCTGAGAGTTTCAGGCAAAATTCAGGCTTTTGAGTCCTGCCTCCATGTGACTGATACTCACATCACATGACTATCGTTGACACCTAATTAACACTTATTGTTAACAGGGGGTGGAGTGATACTGCCAATGGCAGCGCTGTAGGAGGGGGACAGCTGAAAACGGAGGCCCCCACCTCTGTTTAATGATGGACGGTCTTTCTTTACAAAAATGGCTTCTTTTACTCCTCTCTCAAACCAACGTTCCTCTCTATCAAGAATGAGAACATCCTCATCTCTGAAAGAGTGACCGCTGGCCTGTAAATGAGTGAAAACTGCAGAGTTCTGGCCATTAGATGTAGCTCGTCTGTGTTGGGACATTCTTTTGAACAGTGGTTACTTTGTTTCCCCGATGTATAACTGGTCGCAGTCCTCCTGGCACTTAACAGCATATACAATATTGCTCAGCAACAGGGGGTGGAGTGATACTGGCAATAGCAGCACTGTAGGAGGGGGACAACTGAAACACATTACGGCAAAGGCTGGTTCACCCCAAAGA